AGGACTTAATATTAAACTTTAATAACTTTTAGCAAACTGTAAAGCAGTTTAAAAAAACCTTATAGAAAGTTTGCAATCTAAAAATCCAAAATGCACAAATAAAAAAAATAAATTTCTATATACAATAAAGATATAATAACATGAAATCAAATATATTATACATGATAAACAGTATATTTAAACATAATCAGAATCAAGTTTCTTTTGACAAAAATATAACATTAGACAGAATAATTAATAATCTAGAAGAAATAAAACAAGCAACAAAAAAGCACTTTAACAACTGGACTAAACACAACCCAACAAATCCTAATTTTGAACATAAATGGATTTATTTTCTTTAATTTTTACTACATGTCAACTTCAATATATACAATAACTTATTATAACTAATATTAATTCTTAAATTAATAAAGACTATAACATCATCACCACTATACAAAGCTACTGGTCCTTTAGGAATATTTAATAAAATGATTCAACATCTACTAATATTAGCAAAACAAATTCTCTTTTAGATCTTTAATACATATTTGATAATCAAAAAAATATCAAGTAGATAGAAATATGCAAACATATAAACTATCTTAAAAAAACAATACTACAACAACAACCTCTTATATACTTAATTGATCATACTAATTGAACATATTCAAAAAATTTTTACTAAAATAATTACTTAACAATTAAATAAAATTTTTACTCAACACCTAATCTTAAATTCAAACAACAACATTGCACTTCTATTTATATTTACTTTTTAACTTATTCAACCTATTTTTCATATAATAGAACATGCTAATATAACAAAAAACAAATACTAGATCTTAGCACAAGATATGTCCAAAGTCTACAATATAGTACACATCTCTCTACTAATTAAAATACTTTAACAAATCTATATTCCTTCCTTAATTATAAATTTATTAAATAATCTTCTTAACAACAGACAAAATTCTGTTATTACAAGTATTGAACTAATACAACCTTATATCATACAAGATGGAATCAATCAGAGAGACATTTTTTCTCCAATTCTATAGAGAATCTACTATGATCCACTTATCAATCATATTATACAACATATTAAGAATATCAACTTAATACTCACATATATTCTTCTATTATATCAATACATACTTCTGTAGTAGCATATATGGATGATACAATATAAATAGCCAAAGATAAACAAGAGTTACAAAACATATTAAAAACAATTAACTTCTTTCTTTCTTATACTAACATCAAAGTCAACCCTTACAAATCAATACTAGTAACTAATAATTTAGATCCTAATGCTAATATAATATTTCAAGAAAAGAATATATCAAATATTTAACAAAAATCAATAATTAGACACTTAGAAACATAGCTTACCCAAGACCCATCTCTTCAACTTATAAAAAAATTTCTTATCAAAGACATTACCTCTAATTTAAATAACATCAAATTTGCTAAAATAATTAATAAACAGGTTATTTATATTATTGATCGTCTTATTAAGCATGATACATTAACTTGATACATTTGAATTAAAAAATGTAATTACACAAAATTTTACATATTAATTTGCAATTAAATAAATATATTTAATATTTGAAGATTTATAGAATATATTTATAAAAAAAAATTAAATTAATTTTTGATTACATATTATTTAAAAAAATCTCAAAGTTAGTTAATTTTTTTAAAAAAAATTAAAAAATTAAAAATTTTTGATATATTTCTAAATTAACCAATTATAATTGAGTATTTTTTGTGCTACTATGCAAGTACCTTGATGTAACCTTGATGTATAAACTTGCAAAATTTCAACTATAATTATTATGTAAAAAAAAAAGTTATAATAAAAAGAAAATTACCTATTTAAATTAATTTACTATATAAAAAATTAGTAATTTTATATAGTAAAATTAATAATACTTATATATAAAAAAGTTAGGAATGAAGAATGGTGTTCCTAGTGTAGTGATTGGGTTGTCATCCTCCAAGTGGCAGGTTTAAGGTTCAAATTCCACCTACAATGAAATTTAGAAATTATATCTGCATTATGGTAACTGTCTTCTGTCAATCAGTTGGCCTCATGTGACTGTTATCCAGGTACACCAAGTCAGGTCCTCTTAACATTGGAAGCTCAGGCATTTATACAAAGTGTAATGTTATATGTATATAGAGGAATGGTTACCGGTATTACATGAGACTTCAGTGCAAACCCATAATAAGACCATCAGGCATAGAAGACTAAGAAACTAAGATAACAGAAACCTACTTGAAAATTCCTAAGTAAAGAGATAGCATGAACTTTTAATGGTACCATCAGACCAGTTGAAGCCCATAAAACATCTTCATAAGAGCTGAAGATTAAAACCAAACATTAAATATATGTAGAGAAGCACATAACCAACCAGGCTGCCAGATTCACTAAAGGAAAAGAATATATAAGTATACTATACCAGGCTATTTGGATTGGTAGTCTGAAATGAGACCAACAGTTCTGAGTTGCAGCTAATAGGGAATGATGAAAAAGATGCTAGGAAGATAAGTACTGAGGTTCTAGTAAACTTTATAAGGATAGAAATAGTGTAATGTAGTAGTTAAACAGGTAACTCCTGTGACTGCAAGTATTAGATAACTATAGCATGTTGCATAAAACTAGGTTTATATGTGTGGAATATAAAGGCTCTAGTAAGTTTTCTATTGAGGATAAAGTAGTCCTAAAGGTAGCAATAAGCATCAAGAACTTGAATGGGTGTAGCCTTGAGATGTTCTCATGATACAAGGAAAATTGCATATGTAGAGAGTTTAAATAGGCAAAACTCCTAGTTGGTTTGCAGATATGACAACTAGTGTAAAACTTATATAGTAATATATAAGTGGACTACTTAAATTAGGCACCAAAAGTGCATGTGTAGCTAGTTGTAACTTCCAATATAAAGGAGCTCTTGGAGGTACCTATTTTCTAACAAAACTTAAATAAAATATTACATCTTCAAGATAGAGACTTTAACTATAAAAAAAAAAAAAAAAAAGTTAGAAATTATAAAATTTTTTTAGAATTTAAAAATTTTATTTATATTTATATATATAAAATAAATCTCTTAATATATATTTTATATTTATATTATTTAAAAATATATTAATTATTAATTTTATAAACTTGCTATATAAGTATATTTTATATAAAAAATCACTATATTTTTTATATTTACAAGTACTTATTTATAAATTATTCTGATAAAAATTTTTTTAAATTTTAAAAATTTTTATCTTATATATAAAATAATATAATGAACATTTTTACTTAATAAACAAAATATAGTTTACATAATAAAAAAAAATATTATAAATTAAAGACTATATAATTTAAATATTTTTTATAAATTTGTAAATTAATAAAAAAAAATATTTAATTAAAATATAATAAATTGGAGGTGTAGTGACTAGGATTGTGGCCCAAACCTCTTTTTTAAAAATGACATTACTACATATTTTGGGTTTGGGAATCAGGATTTCTACTTAATTTGAGTCTATAACTAAAACCCAAACACATGTTCTATTTTATTCAACAATGTCAAACTCAAAAACCAATCAAATTTGTTAAATTGATATTAAAATAGCACAATTCAACTTTAACAGGATTATACAGCCAAATAAAATTTTATTAAAAAATTGAATTTATTTGCACATTATGAGACTATGTTGTATATAATTAAGAGAAAAAAAATCCAAACTTAAAAATTAAATTTCTCTTAAACCTGTTATTTAAATCTGCTAGCTAATTTTAATTTATTCTAAATGTGTTTATAACCCAGAATTGTTATGACTTTAATAAATTTTCTTGCATTCATTAATAATATTAATTCGATTTGCCTTAATATAAAACCCATTAATTAATATGTATAATATGTAACTATTTTCTTTCTTAGCTATAGAAATAGATGATTATCAAATAATTAACTACAATTTAGCTAGTATAATATATTTATGCAATTAATATTTTTCTCAGGTGTTTTTTAATTTAATGCTCTAATAAGACTAGATTTGATCAAGGTCAGTATTTGAATTATTTACCACATTTGGTAAACAATTATACTTGATTTTGTAACTTTAAGATTCATTAACATTATATCAATAGCTGATTTCTCAAGCTTGTTCATATGATCATTGAGATTATTCTATTATTAATTCTGAACTATGCTACTGTATTTAATTATTACAAGAATACTTCAGACTAATTTAATCAAGGATACACAAAACTGATGCTAATTGCATTTCAAAATTTGTGACAGATCTAATCTACATTGATGTAATATTTAAAAAAAAACTAACAATGTTAGATAAAATTTGTGATCAAACTTTTATAATCCTTTTTTTGTTTACAAAAAAAAAAAAAATAAAGTAATAATAAAACTACTAACATCAAACCATATAAATCTTTAAAGATTTCTTACCTTAATGTAAATGGCTTTAGTTTTTACACTAGATTATCTTTGATCTAAAATTCATACACAAAAAAAAAAGCTATATGCGTTTGCTAAACAAAAACCTGTATGAATACTGTAAAGCAAAACAGCAAAGACCATTAATATTATATATATATTTATCACAATTGAACCCAACATAAATAATTTAATTTGTAATTGATCACCATCAAGAAAGATTTACTTTGGATTAGGCACTGTCTCTGTTATAGTAAAGTAATATTAGTATCTTATGATAATGCATTATGCATGTTGTATACATATATCTTGATATGCATTAAGAACCTTAATTGTTCAAATGTAAAAAAAATAACTTAACAAATATATAAACATAACCTTAGTATTCTTGTTTCATGTAATTTACAATTTGCAAAACAAAAAAAAATAAATAAAAAAATAACAGTTATTATGAAAAAAACAACTATGCATATAAATGAATCTTCTAGTTCCCAACTATCTGAAATTATCTTTATTCCTACAAAATATAAGATCAAAAAAAGCAAAGGGAGTAGACCAAAAATGCCTATCTTGAATGATTATAATGAAGGTAAAGAAGATGGGCACAGGCATTTTGGAGCAAGTTGCCATTATTGTAATAAAGGCAAATGACAATATGGAAAACTTTCTATTATGGAAGCTTTATTGTAAAGGTCCAGTACCTGATAATATTAAAAGAAAATGGTTAATTGAAGTTGCTAAAAGAGGTGAAAAAGTAAATAATAAGAATAAAGAAATTTATAATAAAAAAAAAGTCAAAAGGTCTAATCAATTAATCACTTCATACTTTTAATCTATTAATAAATTATCCTCTCAACAATTCACAGACATTACAAAAGCACTGCTTAAAGCTTTTGTATATTGTAGAATTCCCTTTGCTATCATCGATAATCTGTATTTTCAAGATTTTTTAAATCTTTTACAACCTAGTTATACATCACCACATAAGGATGCACTTTCAGGCTCAATATTTGATAGAGAAATTGCACAAATTGTTGTTAAGTTGAAAGCAAACTTATAAAAAAAAGAAAATTTAACTTTATGTAAGTAAATATAATTAAATTAATCTGTTTTTTTCCTCCTTTTGCTATCCTGAAGGTTCATAACACCTTTATCATGAGTTGACTTCTGCTTCATTAAGTCCATCATAAGAAGTTCTGATCTATAGTTAAATTAAACTTTAATTAGTATAGTAATAAATATTTATTTTATTTATAGCACTGAATGGCTGAACCTTACCAAGGGATGATTTACTTTATAACTATATAATTGCAACTTCAAGCTATCAAGAATATCTTTATGCTCTAGCTGATTATTCAGAAGAGCATCAAACAGAAAATTTTATTGCCAATAAAATTTCAGATATTATTGAAAAAATAGGTCCTTACTGTTTTGTGGCAATTGTAACTAATAATGGATCTAATGTACACATTGCATGACAAACTATCTATCACAATTATTCTTATATCTTAAATGTCCATTGTATTGCTTATGCATTGAACCTGTTAGTAGCAGATTTTGTAAAAACAACATTAGTTAAAAATGTTTTAAAAAAAGCTAATATGCTAGTTTTATTTTTTCAAAAATCACATTTAGCAAACTGTCTTTTATGGGATACTGTTTTATCTATGAATATTAAAGGTGGTTCATTAGAGACATATAGCGAAACATGCTGGGAATCTATTTATGATACAATGAATTCTATTATTCACGTTAAGCCTGCAATTGATAAGGTTAATAAATTAAATTTTGTTATTTAACAATGCCAAATAAACTCTATTCTTTAATAATTCAGTCTTAAAATAGAGTATAAGTATTGTCAAATAAAAATCTGACTTAAAGTCAGGTTTTCATTTGGCAGCACTCATATAATAACATGCCTTTAATAATAATAATAATGTAATTATTATAATTATTATTTTAGATTCTTGAAAAACAACTAAATATATTTACCAACAAAGAGTATTTAAAATTGCATTTGATAAAAATGATAGTTTCTATCCTTTGTGCAAAAGAATTGCTTTAATTTTTGAACTGATCAAACGAGTAATCAATTTGCTTGAAAGTCTATAGCAACTTTGGCTGATTGTTTTATAGGAATAGTTCAAATAGCTATTGCTCTTAAGAAAATACCCATCAGTAATGATCTTTGTGCTCTTGCTATTGCTGTATTCAATGCTTGATATGAACAATTTGACATTTCTCCATACCTTTTAACTTATTTCCTTCATCCAAACTACAAAAATAATGGTTTAAAAAGAAAGTTCTGTAATATTTGTGAATTGGCAGTTAGTTATTATAAAGATATGCATTATAATAAAAAAGAATGTTATGAATTAGTAAGTCAATTAATAAACTACAAAGCAAAAGTTACACCCTGAGATATTGAGTTTTCTTTCAATTTAATGCCTGCAACATGGTGGAAAGTTGTTGAAGATAAATATAACTACTTGCAAGAACTAGCAAAAACTATATTTGCAATCATACCCTTTCAAGCCAGCTGTAAACAAATTTTTTTTATTTTAAAGTGGTTCAGTGAAGAATGTCATATATGGCTTCAAGTTCCAAGATTAGAAAGTATGATGCAGATCTACTTCTTTTATATATTAAACTTTAAAAAAGAATTGAAATTTTATGATAATAATTGTGTGAAGATAGAATTATATAATAGTGTATTAAATGAAACAATCTTTGCAGAAATGAATAATGTTGAATTAAATAATAAAAATAAAGATAAATTAGAAATAGTAAACCTCACAGCAAATGATATTACAATGGCTCTTCAAGATTTAGTAGATCTATCAGATTTGGTATTTGGAACAAATAATAATCAAAAAGAAATTACATTGTTCAATAGAGAAGAAACAAATATAGCATTTGAATATATGTCATTAGTTCAGGATGCATTAGGTAATAATAATTTGTATGAATAATATTATGTACATTCATCTTGTATTTTGAATTTATTCAAGTTTTTTTTTTCTGCTTGAATAAAAATAGTAAGAATCATTTTTTTTATATCTTCAATTGAATATAACTCAACATATTGGACGAGATAAAACCATTATATGTCCAACATACCCAATATAAGAACAATTTGTAGATAATGACTAAATAGGATATATTGAACAGAGCAATATGTTAGATTAAATAGATACATTAAATATGTATACTATTATATAATCTTCCTATCATTGATTAACCTTGATCACATATGATCATTGTAACTCTGTTTGAATTATGAATAAACTGTACAAAATCTTGTCATAAGACTGTTAAAACTTGAATATAAAAAAACATTTTTAATAAGTTGATACACTGTAATCATGACAGTGGGCTCAATTATAAAAGATAAACTTTTACCTTTGATTAGATTAAGTAAAATTTGTGTAAAATTTGTGTAACCATCTATTAGATTAGGTAAAGTTTGCATAACCATCGATCTGATTTGCATTTTTTATTTGGAATAAATTCCAAACCCAGTTTTTACATATTAAAAATTTGGAATTCTTAGTCAAAATATAAATTACATATCAAAAGTGTTTAACATTATGAAAAATTAAGAATATTTTATGAAATCTAGTAAATACTATTTGGGTTTCTATCTAATCCCAAACTAACAAGTTTGGGGTGCAACTTTAGTGGCGACCTAGTGAAATGGTCAGGTTGTCAACCCCCAAGTGGTAGGTTGAGTGTTCAAATCCCATCGACAGTGAAAATTTGGATAATCACCTATGAAATATTCATATTATGGCAACTGTTACTAATAATTGGATTAGGATACTTGTAATGGCAGTCACACCAGCATGACTGGCAGATCATAGGGCATCTGTGTAAGTATGGCATTACACAGAAGAATGCAAACTAACAAATCAGGTGGTGCAAATACTAAATAAGTTCTTGTGGCCATGTAAATCTGTTGAAATTGGGTAATAAGAAGTCTATTTAGAAAGATCTGAGTAGAGAGGTAGCTGGATTTTTAATGACTTTACTGTAAAGGCTGGCTTAGGGAAACGGATACCAAGGTCGTAGTACCTGGTTATAGTAGCTGGACAGGCAGAACCTCTGAGTTGAAAGGCTCGGAGGTACCACCAACTAGGCCATCAGAATGAACTAGAGAAAAAGGATATCAGGCTGACCCGATATACTGATAGACTGGTCATAGTCCTACATGGACTATCTGAATTGGAAGTTTGATAAAAAGGCTGAACAAAAGGCAGGGATATATTAAAGTATTGGGGTTATGCTATAAAGTAGATGCTGAGGTCTAAGTGAACTCTACAAGGGCATAGCGGTTTAATGGTTAGCCCTGACCACAAGTGTTGGTTTTGCCATAGCGATACCTAGGTCAGCTGTAAAAATGGG